CTTATTTTTTGTGTTTTTTGTTTGTTTTTTAAATAACATCATTCCTTAGATAAAAATGCAATCTTACAGGAATATACAATAGCGTCTCACACAGAGATGACCCTGAAGCTCTCCTTGAAGGGTTGCCCCTTCTAGATTCCCTGGCCTTTCTCGAGGGTGAGAAGGCCATCAGGCGAGGCCTCTGACAATGGGATTATTTGAGGATTACAAACTGTACAATGATATTTACAACAGTAAGACTGTGAAGTCGTGGAGCCTGGAGGGGAGGATGTGGGGGTGTGTAGGGGTGTGGGGAACAGTGACAATGGAGGCAGTGCCCATCTTTCTGTGCCTCTCTGATAACAGGCATGATACAGATTGGTTTGGCGGATGAAGGTGGGTTTGAGCAGGAGGACACGAGGAGAGGGAGCTTTATCTGGAGCTTTTCACTGGAGGAAAGTTTTGCATGGTAGCTCTCGTGGATTAAAATGAAACAGCAATATTATGAGAGTAATAGACCTTTCAGTGCTTCACCAATGGGGAATCTGTCACCCTATTTCTTAATGAGCGTGTGTGTTTTGCCATGGGTTATTCTCATCCACTACCATCACAGACTTGTCCAGACATGCTCATCTCTGTTTCCCATGGCCTCATTGCAAGGCCTCATTCCCATCAGGCTCTGGGAGAACAGCATGCATTCTGGGCAGGACAGGACATGGAAATGGGGTGGTATATAATCTGGCTGGGATTCAAGAGATGGATTTCAGGTGTGGGGATGGGCTGCAGCTGGATGCATAGGTGGCCTGAGCAGGAAAAGAGGAGGTGTGCACAGCTTTGGGATGCTGGAGACACCTCCTGAAGGAGATCTTTTTGCACAGGACTGTGTGTTTACAAATCGTCTTCCCTTGATGTGCAAGTTCTTTCCTTTCCCCCTTTTAAACACTGGTATAGTTTCTCCATGTTGGGAAGTCTTGGGGTTGGGTGCTATGTACAGGATCCAGTGATCCACTCTCTTTTGCTTCTTTTCACTCTATAGGAGAACCTTCTCTTTTCTCCTGGCCAGTGGCCAGGAGAGGTTTCCTCAAGGAGGTCCCTGAATCCTGCAGCCTCAGGTTCCTTGGCAAGGGAGTCACTGCTTGGCCTGGTGCCTGCTCACTTCTTTTTCCTAATTCCCTTGGTAATAAACTTGAGATCTCTAAGAATTCCATGACGGGAATTCTCCAGACCCAAACAGTGAATAAGAATCATTCTGTCCATTTCTACATTTCCTCACATAGAAATGACCCACTCTTAAAAAACCTACAAGCTCTTCCACCCAGAGCTTTTTGATAATGACCTTGGTTTGAGGTGCATGAGTGAATTTTAGAAATGAATGTACAATGTATGTCTGATTCACGCCAGGGGAAGTGGCACGGTGCCCTTTCTGGGATCCCTACAAAGTCAAATTCCTTAGATTCTGAGAATTGGGGTGCATGGGATGCCCTGAAAAGGTGGGGGTGTCCCTGTGTAGCAGCCAGTAACCTATCTGAAGGGAGAGGACTTGGCTCTGGTGACGTAACATTTCAAACCTCAGTGTAATTACTTAGTCTTCATCTTTTCCTCCTCATTCTTAGTAGAGATGTGGGAGAATTTTCATGAAAAATGCTAACTCGGACTCCTCTCGGTGCTCCACAGATGTGTTACCCTTCATCCACTCAGCTGCAAGATCTAGAGTGCCTGGAACGCTTCTCTAATACCCCACAAAGACCACGGATCTTTGCCACTTCAGGTACTTTGGCTCAAACCTCTTAAAGTCATCCCAGGTAAAAGTGTTGATTGTAGTATTCTCTCAATGTACATAAATAGAATGTATCTCATAATAACAGGAGGTTCTGATGGTACTACTTCCACTCTGCTGCGCCCTCCTTGTCTGTGGATACAGTGCTCACCCTTGCAGCAGCAGGAAAGTCCCTTATCTAGAGCTCAACCCCAGCCCTTGTGCCTTAAAGGTGTGTGTCCTAGGGAGGTGGTTCAAGCATCCCCCACAGTAATGTGGAGATGTGGCAGAAACCCATTCACCTGTTATACTGGTATCTGGCTCCACAAAGAAGCGTTTCATCGCTTTGACGTAAAAATGAATTGATGAATGAAGTTAAGCCCAGAAGTGGCTTCACAAAGAGGCTGTGTAAGCATCTGCCCATGGGACTCCCTTCCACGCACCGTCTTTCTCACTAGGTGTTGGGAAAGACAGAGAGCTGGGGCCGGGGAGGGCAGTGGGAAGAGGAAGCTCTGCTTAGGGACAGGGAAAGGTGCCCCATTCCTGACAGTTGTAGGACTGTTCTTTGCCTCCTATCTTCCCCCTCAACCTCCTCAAATCGTAGCCGCTGGAGAACCTGGACGCTGGTGGCTGAGGGCCTCCCTGTGAGTGAGGTGCGGGCTTCCCTGCCTGCCTTTGCACAGGAGCCTGTGTCAGGTGGCACCTGGACCGCATGAGGGCAGGCACATCAGCAGAGGGGGTCAGGGCAGCAGACACCCCCACACCCCGCCAGATAGGCTGACGTGGCTGGGACAACACCCCCAGATGGAACGTGTGCTCTTCTCACCTTCCCAAATCCTTGAGATGTCTGCGGCTCCACCACACGGATCACTGTGGGTGGCTGAGCTGAATACGTCCTTGCATGAACTGGGAAGAGACCCAGAGGGAGTCAAACGATGCCCTTGTCTTGCCTCCATTCTCCTCCCAGTCCTCCCTGTGCTGACATCTGCCCCAGAGGCAGGTCTTCGTTAAAACGTGGAATTGGCCCGGACTGCGTCAGCAAGTATTTGCCGCCCCTGGGGTTTAAAGAGGTCTTCTGAGAGTCAGCAGCCCCTGTTGTGGCCTCTTTGCTGAATTGTTTCTAAATCCTCAACAATGATATTTCAATTATTCTAGGCCTCTAGGGACGGAGAGGCCATCATCCTCCTTTGCCACCTTTCCCACGATGAGGCTAAAAACCCTGATGACCAGGGTTCCACTCTATCCCTGACCTACATTCTTGTTCTACTTCTTTGCCTTTAGGAGTGGTGGCTGTGTATCTTCAGGACTCCATAAAGTAGCCACCATCCTTTGGGTGACTTCCAAAGTCCTCATTTTCAAGGTGTCCCTATTTCTCAGGGGATGAACTTGGGCATGGAAAGGGCTGCGTTTCCTGAGGTTGCCCCCCGTGTCTTCAGCTGCACAGTCAGGAGACATGCTGGGTGGAGAAAAGCTGGGAGAAAAAAAACAGGCAGCTTCACTCCAGACAAGCACCTGGAATTTGGAACTGGGAAACAGAATGAGAGTCATTGCCTTGCTCTTTTGAGTGGATTTCCCAGAGTGAGACCTACTGGATTAAGAAGAAGGAAAGGGGTTATAATAATACCTTCTGAATCAAAGCTGGGAAAAATTCTCTAAGGTCTGGAAATGAAAGAGGCAGGGCTGGTCAGAGGACAAAGAATTAAGCTGACCAAACTGCAGACCTTAAACTGTTTCTTCAAGTCCCTTGGGCCCTTAGCCCCTGGCTGTTTTCTCCTGCCACTTGGGGGCTGTCAGGAGGGGTATGGAAGATGTGACAATTATGTTTTACAAGGTCATGGGGAAAATTCCATTTTAGGTGGAGAGTAGACATCACTCAGAAAACTGTGGATGCGGTTCATTGGTGTCACTACTTGTGCCAGTCTGTTCTGATGACAGGCATCGTACACCAGTCTTATTCTAGATCGGAAGATCAGTCTCGGACAGTCCTCCTGTCCTAGACAGGGAACGCCCGTGTGTACCTCCGGGTAGAAATCTTCGGAACTTTACAAAGGATGATACCTAAACTCAATTTCTAGAGGACCTTGGTGGCACTGAAAAGGAATCAAGAAAGTCCGGATGACTTCGGTGTGGATACCCTTAAAGAAACTCTGTTTCTAGACTGTGTTAACCGGGGAGTATCAAGTACATTTCTCCACTTTTTCATGAATCAGTCCAGCAAGCTGTCATAGAGGAATGGACTGTCCCTTATTTTAATTTCTAGCTTACTTATATATGTGCCAAGAGGGGCTGAGGGAACACTAGGACTGAAAGAGATTTAATGGGTCAGTTCTGGGGGAATGGTTGGGTCCAGTTTTCCCCAAAGCAGTCCCTTTTCAGCCATCACTGTTGATATACATTTGAAGGACACAGCACCAAAAGAGTGATGTTCTAGGGAGATACGTGAGCATCAGAGATGCCCCTACAAAATCTGTTCCCACCCCCACTGTGATCTCCGGATGCCTCTTCCCCTGTCCTGGCCTCCTCCTCAGCAGCCCGAACATTAGGGCAAGCCTGAAGGAAAGGCTGCTCCAGAGTGAGGAAGGGATGGAGAAAGGAGCACGCAGAGTTGACTTTCAGATGGATCAGGGTTTCACCCGTTCCTTTCTCAAGCCCCTGCTGTCCTCGCTGGGTAGAGCGGAATCCTGAAGTGAGGATGCCCCTCCCTCCAAGCAGCCTGACTTTAATTTTATCCTCCCGGTTGGTGTACACTTTCCTAAGGAAGCCAACGAGAAAAGTCTGTGTGGTGGGAGTGAAGGCAAAGCCAGCCACCTCTTCCGTGGGGGATGCGGATGCCAGCCCGGTGACTGAGGGCTGGTCAGAACGCCTCCCTATGCCTAACAGTGAAGGGCTGTTCTTGGAGAAGTACCAAATCAGATGACCAGAGCAGAGTGGACAGTGAAGCCTGGAATAAAATAGGTCCTGGTCTATCACAGCAAGAGGCGGTACGAACATACCCAGCAAACGATTTTGGAAAAATTGAGGCAAACGGAAGCGAACACAAGATATGCAAAACAGTAATGTCCAAACCTGTTTGTGGAAAGCAGAATAATGACTACACTGGTGATACCTTTGCTCATTGTGCAAATTAAAGAAAACTTGTTCCCTTCCCCCAACCACATATAGAAAAGCACTTAAGAGTTCAAAGGTAAAGCTTGTCACACTCCAAATACAAAATGATTTACTTTACATGCAGCAAAATATACAAGAAGTGAATCCGAAAACCAACTTAATTCAATTCATTATATTCGCTTGGCACAATTGCAATTCAGTTTTAAAAAAATATTTGAAAAATACTGAAACTGACCTGAATTCAAGTATAACGGTTTCTTCAACAGAAACATTATCAATGCAATAAAACATTACACGGAATATAGTGAAGCAAAATGCCTTCTTGTGTTTTTCCCTTAAATTTCTGTGTCTTTTTTTTAAAATACAGTTTTAATGCCAACACAACTCACAATTGTATTTTTAAATGAATATTATTGCATTGTTTTTGCATATCTTGTGGGACAGAAAATGCAAAGAGTTACTGATTCCCATTTCAGAAGCAGAGACAGTGCTTTGTTTTTGCTTTCAAATGGCCCCAGATTCAGATCTTCTCACAGCTAAACCAGAAAGGGGGGACTGCGTAGTCACTGGTGTGCACGGGCACATGGTGTGGGTGCATATACATAGGCAGGACATATGCACACAGACAACCCACCACACACACACGCGTCGCACACACTCGGAGACTCTCACGCATGCTCCTCTCCCAAACCCACCTGTACACCCAGCATTAAAAGGAACCCAACTCTATCACCCACATGTGCAAGACCACATCAAGTGCGTTGCAATTACCTTTCCATGAGAAAACCGAACCAAACCAGAACAAAAATAGGTTGCTACCTAAGGAAATGATAACAAATTATTGGGCATACACAATGGTTGGTAAAACTCTCCTGCAGCGGCTTCTATTGAACCTCCGTGGAAAAAGGAAACCACAACCGTTTAAATAATACAAGAAAACCAAACCGGATGTACATTGGCAAAAGTGAAAACAGAAAGGTGAGGGGGCTACAGGACTTTGTAAACACTCTTCTTCCTCCCCTCCCCCTGGGAAAACAAAATAAAAAATAAAAAACCCAAAACCAAAAAGAAACTGCAACATGCTGTCAAGAAAAGTGTCAAACCACAAAACAAAAGAGCGCTCAGCGGAAGCTCAGCACCACCTGGTTGCGCGGAGCCGGCGGCCCCTTCCCGGCGGCGCAGCTCCTCCCTCGCGCTGCCTGCGGGCCGGCGGCTGGCCGGGAGCTCGGCGTGGCCCGTGCGGGTCGGGGGATCCCGTCGCAGGTGGGCAGGGGCGGGTCGGGGTGAGCGGCACCACGGCCCGCCCGACGCCCATCCCCAAAGCTCCGCGCCCCTGACGGCCGCCTCCTCCCTCTCCGGGCCGGGCTGGGGTCCTCCTGGAAGTCCTGCCCCGCTCCCTTCTCCAAATCCGCGGGACCCTGGCTCTAGGGAGACAGCGAGGCTCGTACAGAATATGTGCAAATGGTTTCTACAAGCAGAGTCGAAAGACACCCGTTTGCTGTAGGGTCCTTTGGGTGAGGGCGCGCGGGAAGCCGGGGTGCTCTCCCCGCAGAGGCGCGGCCGGGCCCGGGGCCTGCGGGCTGGGAGAGGGCAGGCGCCTTCCTCGCGCCCCGGGACCCTCGCCGCCTCCTCTCCCCGCCTCTGCAGATGCAGCCGGGCGCCTTCCTCCCGGAGGGCGGCTCGCGCACCCAGGCTCCGCGTCTTGTCCCAACAGAAATGAATGAAGACGCTGTTCCGGTTAACTCCAGGTCACGAGAACAGTGAGGCACTTCTGAAACGAACCCATTAGGAACATTGAAACAAATAAAAAAAGCCCGCATCTGGCAGCGCCCACTACAGGCTGCTGACGTAGACCCTGCTGTCCTGGAGCTCCTCCTCGCTCAGGCGCCCCCGCGCGCGCGCACAGCCCGCGTCCTCTTCGCCCCCGGCTCGGTCCTGCCCCGCGTCCCTGCAGTTCACAAAGGGTAAGAGGGCGCCATTGGGGCTCTGCGGGGCGCCCCCGCTGAGGATGTTGTCGGCCGCGCTCTCCATCTCCTCTATGGTCATGTCGCAGGCGTCCGCCAGCTCCTGGGTGGTGACCTCAATGAACTTGGGATCTTGAGCGAACTGCCCCAGTCCTTCAGAAATCAAGACCTGAAGGAGCGGGGTGGGAGCCATGAAGAACCAAAGGAACATTATTGCTGGAGCCCAGCTCTTCTCTTGAGGGCTAGAGCCAGGGGTATCTGGTGGGTCACTCGGGGAAGTGTGCCTGTGCACATGGCCCTGTGTGGGTTGGGAGGGGCACCCACAGGGAGCAAGTAGAGATGGAGCATCTGCCAAAAGAATTAGGGATGTGCAGGCCAGAGAAGTTTTGGCTGGGGTGGTCAAACACTGTCATCAAATATATAAAGACTTGCTAATGGCCCAGCACCGTGGCTCACACCTGTCACCCAGCACTTTGGGAAGCCCAGGCAGAAGGACTGCTTGAGCCCAGGAGTTCGAGACCAGGCCCAGGCAACACGGGGAAACTTCGTCTCTACAAAAAATTTTATAACAATTAGCTGAGCGTGGTGATGCACACCTGTGATCTTAGCAAGGCCAGAGGCTGAGGTGGGAGGATCATTTGACCCCAGCAGCCCCAGGCTGCAGGGAGCTGTGACTGCACCACCTCACTCCAGCCTGGGTGACAGAGTGACAAGCTGCAGGGAGCTGTGACTGCACCACTACACTCCAGCCTGGGTGACACAGCAAGACCCTGTCTCAAAAACAATCAAAACAAAACCCACAGTAGGCTTGGCTCTCAGAGGGACCAGGGAGGCCGCCCTGCTGCTACCTCAGCAGATCCCAGCCTGCCTCTCTCCCTTCTGACACCCACCGGACCTTTATACTATTCTTTCAGAGAAACCGTTCTCCCTGGTGAAACTGCTGAGACAGGCCCACTGCCCATTGCCTGCCACCGCCTTTCTAGGGGTGAGGTATGTGTGCAAACACGGTGCATGACCCTGCCTTGCTTCTGCTGGGAAGGGCCAGCCAGTGACCCTCAAACTTCTCTGTCCTCCCCACCGGCTGCTTAGTGCCTGGCTATGGGAAAATCGGCTCCTGAGCCAGGGGGTGGGGGGAAGCTGAGTGCAGCCTGGCACTCACTCCTCCCAGGCATCTGTTTGTCTTGCTCCTTGCCCATGCCACTTCTTCTCTCCTTACCCTGCTTAGTTTGTCTTTGGCACTCCTGACCTTGCTGATGTGTTATGTATGTGTGTGTTTATCATCTGTCTCTCCTCACCATGATGCGAGCTCATGAGAGCAGAAGCTCTGTTTCTCAGCTGTGTCCTTGTACCTAGAACAGCGCCTGCACATGGTAGGCCCTCACGGGAGGTCTGTGAAATGAATGCAGGATGACCAAGGCCACAGGAATATCAGACTTTGAGAGGTAAACCTTGGAAGCCACCTGGTTTAACTCCCCACCTCCTGCACGACAGCCTGATGTCCAGGTGAGCACAGTCTCTGCTTGGCTATGTCTGATGATGGGGGGCTCACTACTTTTCAGGCAAGCGCCTCTCATTTGGAAGAGCTGTTGGGAAGGTCTTCCTCATGTGAGCTGAAATCTGCCTGCTGGTGGGCTGAGCCAACTGCTCTGACCTGCCACCCTTTCCCCATTCCACCCGTTTCGAGGTGTAAGAGGTGTATTGCACCCTCCATAGTCACCTCCTCTCCAGGGTTTCTTCCCTAACTCCCTGAACCGGTTCTTCTAGGACATGGTTTCTAGGAACCTTGCCATCCTGGTCATCCTCTTTTGGGTTTGTTCCAGTGTGTCAAAGGTCCCTCATAATGTGGTACCAGGATGGCACTAGACGCTCTGACCAGGCAGAGCACCGTGGGACTGAAAGCTCTCTTGTTCTAGACTAGTGGCTCTCAACCTGGCTGTACATTCAAATCACTGAAGAGCTTTAACAATCATCAGTTAATTTGTCCTGGGTTTCCAAAGCTCCCCAGGTGATTCTCACGGGCAGTCAGGCCTGAGCACCTCGGATCTTGCCTGTCTGTGTATAAAGGCAGCCAGGCTCACATTTGCATGTTGAGCAGCTGCAGCACAGATGCCTCTGGCTGGGATAAGTTGCTCAGTCCTTTCTGTTGCCCTCTGCAGTGGGCCTCGCCTCAAGAGAGCCCATAGCCTCTTGTGCAGTCATGGCTTTCCGCATCCCAGCCCTCGTGCAGCCCTGAGAGGGAGGGTCTGTCCGCCTCAGATACTGACTGCAATGAATTTGGCAAGAGCCAGGTGCCACCTTCTCAGCTCCGCACGCCAAGCCCCCTTGCTGCCCGTGGCCTCTCCCCCTGCCCGTCTGTGAGTCACCTACCGCTTCCACCAGGCTGCTGGCACTGCCGTGGAACTGCCTCCCCGGGGCCCCAGCCTGGCTGGGCACCATGAGGGAGACGGGCCGGGCTCTCCGGGTGGTGCTGCTGTCCCCGCCACCGGGGGTGGTCTCAGCCCAGGAGCCGCAGTGGATGGACGGGAAGCTGCTGTTGAGTTTCTCACTGGACTCGGCGCCCTCCAGCCGCAGGGTGGGGATGGGCTGTGGCGGCCAGCCTCGGCTGCCAGGTGTGGCCGGGGGGGTGGCAAAAGGCCTGGGGAATGAGGCAGGGGAATGGCTTCTCTGGAGGAGGGGGCTCAGGCCTGCCACTGCCAATGCCTGCGGACACACAAGGAGTGCGAGTTAATAGGAGTGGCCGACCCCAAGCAAGGCAGGGCCCTGCTTCTGAGCAACCACTGCTTTGCAGCTGCTGCGTCCAGCTAGCTCCACCTGCCTGGCATTCACATGCCATTGTTTCCCCCTCTCGGTCCCTTTTCAACCTGGCATGACTTTCAACCATCTCAAAATACATCTTAGGATCATCTGGGTCTGAAGTGATCTCCTTCTCCTATAACTTCTGAAAGCCGGGATTGGGTGGAGTTGTGGTAACCTGCTTTTAGCCCTGGCCTGGTCACCTGTCAGCTGTGTATTCTCTTGCTCTTGGTTTTGTCCTCAATAGAATGGAGAGCAGGGTGAGGCCCGCATGTCTGTAAAGCCAGAGAACAAATGCTCTCTATCCATCCCCGCTGTGGGGCGGGTGTGAGGTTCAAGTGCAATGAGGTCTGCGAAGAAGCACTGTGCACCTCACAAAGAGTTGGGAAAACCAGTATTTGTGGTTTTAGTTCTTACAGTTAATGGGGCCATTCATAACGCCCTGCCAGTGTCCAGCTCAGGTTGTCTTTGAACTGTTGTTAAATCTGGTGCTGTATTGTGATGAAAAGATTCACGGCCGGGCGTGGTAGCTCACGCCTGTAATCCCAGGACTTTGGGAGGTCAAGGTGGGCGGATCACCTGAGGTCGGGAGTTCGAGACCAGCCTGACCAACATGGAGTAACCCTGTCTCTACTAAAAATACAAAATTAGCCAGGCATGGTGGCGCATGCCTGTAATCCCAGCTACTCGGGAGGCTGAGGCAGGAGAATGGCTTGGACCCGGGAGGTGGAGGTTGCAGTGAGCCGAGATCGTGCCATTGCATTCCAGCCTAGGCAACAAGAGTGAAACTCTGTCTCAAAAAAAAAAACACCAAACAAACAAACAAAAAAAACTGATTCACATGGTGCGCCCTCTGTCCCTGAATGTTCTTGAGCATCCTGAGGGGCGGGACCAGGCCTGCCTGGCTGTTGCCATGACGACCTGCCCGGGCAGAGGCTCTGTAGGGTGAGCTGCTCTGACGGGATGCGCTCCCGGGAGAAAGCGACACCGTGGTGGGGAAAGCCCACCCGTAGGGTCACAGGAGGAGAAAGAGACGAAGAAGAGAGTTTCGTGCCCACCAGCACGACAAGAACAGATAAGTGAAATCGACTTCTAGAAATCTTTTAAAATAGCACACACAGTGTCCCCACATCCTTCCACCTCCTGCCCCGGCCCATGGTGGTCCTCAGCCTGGGGCTCCTGGGTGCCTGGGAATCTGAGAAAAGTGTAAGGCCATATTCATTATTTCAGAAAGCCCAGTGGAAGTCAACGCCACACAGGCTAAGAAAACCTGTTTATTTCTTGGAGCTGAAGTACTATCAACTCAGCCAGGCCACACTGGCCAGCTCATGCTGATTATGAGTTTTGATTGGCAGTTGAATACCTCTGGGTACAAAGCGTAAGTCCATTTAAAATACAGGTCCATGCTATAAGAAAGCATATCTTTAAAAAGGTCAGAATGTTGGGAAACCCAGGTTTAGGCCTCAGTTTGGCTGGGGTTCACAGACTGGCCTCATATGACACTGAAGCTGACCTCAGTTTGCCTGGGGTTCATAGACTGGCCTTATATGACACTGAAGCTGACCTCCGTTTGCCTGGGGTTCATAGACTGGCCTCATATGACACTGAAGCTGACCTCAGTTTGCCTGGGGTTCATAGACTGGCCTCATATGACACTGAAGCTGACCTCCGTTTGCCTGGGGTTCATAGACTGGCCTCATATGACACTGAAGCTGACCTCAGTTTGCCTGGGGTTCACAGACTGGCCTCATATGACACTGAAGCTCAGAGATACTACGGTAAGTTTGGTCCTGGCATCTTGGATTTCACTGTCTCAGCTGGAGTCAGCCATGCCAAGAGACATTTCCTTATGAAATCTCCCTGGACCTGCTTTCTGTGGATGTCATTCCCTACTCATGGCCATGCTGCTGGTGGGTTCTTTAATCACTTCTCTGTGTCACTGGATGGACTTCTGTGCAGCACCATTTCCAGGTATGTTCAATCTCGAGGTACAAGTGCATCTTCCTGAGTGCCCTGCAGCATAGGCCAGTGTCAGGGGAGTCAGTGGCATCTGTGGCAGCCTAAGAAGAAAGCTCAGGTGGAAACCACAGCTCTGGGTCCTCAGGATCACACAAAGAGCTCCTGTGCACCAGCACTTCCTAGGCCCCCACCCACGATGCTGCAGACCTTGCTGCGGCTCTCACCTGCACAGGAGTGCGAAGCCTTGCAGGGATGGCTCTTAGGGCAGGGGCAGGACGTGCCAGCCATCTGAGACAGGCAAGACCCACTGAGGTCTTCAGGATTTGTCCGTCACCCCCGGGGACTATCTGGCCTGCTAGCAGGAGACAGTGGCCTGTCCAAAAGTGTGAGCTACCTGATGATGAACCAGATGCAAGGGCAGGACTGTCTTCTGAGAGATGTCTCCCCCTCGGTCCTTCTGTCGCTTCAGACATTCCAGGTGGAAGGAGGCCCTTCGACCTGCAAAGCCAGCCGGGGAGTCAGGATCAGGGCAGGAAAACAGGACGCTGGCCTGTGACGGTTTACACTCTGGTGGGGTGCCAGGAGCAGTAACTATGGCCCGAGACACCCCTCCTCTCCCCTCCCCTGGTCTGAGACGTGTTCTGAAGCATCTGTCCAGGGCTCATCCCTGCACACCCTGCCTTTGGATTATTGTCTCCTTGCTTTGGAAATCCCCCCACTGTGTGGGGCTGGTTTGAGGCAGGCCACAGTGGTTTCTCAGTCATCCCTGAGTACCTGACCGGTGTTGTCTTGGGAGTTACCACCGGCCACATCTGGAGAGCGAGGGGTGCATTTACCTAGTGAGGCGGAGCGGAGGAAACCCCTCTTTGGGGATTGCCGGATGTCCCTCTTGTCCTCCTCTGGGAGCGTCAGTTGCCGATTTTCGTCATCCTGGTAGGACAGCCTGGAACAGAGAGCTCTTGGGGCTTGTTCCTGGAGGCTGAGAAGTGGTCGCCCACGGGGACAGCTGCACCCCGGAAAGCACTTTGATCCTTAGTGAAGGACGCCCGCTTTGTGCTTACAGACAGGTTTGGGGAATTGCCACCCCAAGAAGTTCTGGCCTGCCCCTGGCGTCACCCCCACTCTTGCAGACCCAGCTTCCGTTTCACCTTGTGCATGGTACCAGTTAAGGTCACCCTGCCCTCAACTTTCGCTGAACGCCTGTACCCCTGGGGGTTGTACCACTCTGGGGGTAGTGAGCAACTCTCCATGTTATCTTCCTCTCCTGAGACCCTCTTAGATTCCTAGTTTGTGGAATTTCCTTGAGGATGGAGACTGGGTTCTTAAGGACCTAGCAGAGTGCCTGGTGCACCAAGCACTCTAGAATAACCAAAAAAGGTTAAAATACACGCTCTTCTGATTTCTAGGGTAGGCAGTCGGCGTTTGTTTGTATTCTCTAAAAATCAACTTAGAGAATATTATCTCATAAGGAACTTCAGGTATTTCTCCTGGTTTTACATTGTCTGTGTTTTGCTGAGTCAGAAAAGTAGGCCTGTCACCCCCACCGCCCCGTTTTGCTGATGGGGACACAAAGGCATGGGGTGGTTGATTGATTTGTCAGGAGTCGCTGGTTGGGACTCTTTCCGTGCTTTTCCTTACTCACTGGATTCTTCTTTCTATGCTGGGGAAAAGGAGGCGCTTCTGCTACTCTTCCCATCCAGTTCCTGAGCAGAAAGCACTGGACCCCAGGAAGCCACATGCTGTGCTGGCCTGGCTGCTGCTCTCCCCACAGCCCCATAGTTGGGGGCCTGGTGACCCCTCCCACCACCTCCAGCCACACCTTTCCTGTCTTCAAAAGCCTGCAAGGCTAGTCCTTCCTCACTCTAAAGTCCTCTCAGGAACTGAACAGACTGATATGCTGGGACGGGTCAGTGAGTGCTTCGTTCCCGCCCTGGGCCCCCGTGAAGCTCCTCCCTGTCTGCATCAGCAGCTCTGGGGTTCCCCGGTGGGACTGAGAGAGGACACACCCTGCATGGTGCCTGGCCACGCTTAACGGTGCTGCTCTTTCAGAGTGGGACAGTGGCTCCCAGCAGGCGGCACAGCCCCCCAGCATGCCAGGTTCTTGACATGCCTGCCCTCCAGCTCAGAAAATAATAGAGAAGTAGGAGCTTCTCTCTAAACCCCTGGACAAGTGTCCATCCCAGGAGCAGGCACACCTGCCGCTGGCCTGCCCATCCCTCCAGGGGGCCCATTTTCAAGTGGCTGCGTGCAAGCCCATGGGACCCAGGCATTTCCCCCTGGGGAAAACCCCATGCCTCAGTTTCCCTTTCTACAAAATTGAAACGACATAATCCCTGCCTGCCTCAGAGGCCTGTTGTGAGTCACAAATAAAGTAACAGATGAGATGGGGCTTTGAGGGTGAAAAGAGCCAGAAAAGCTTCTGAAACAATGTGTCTCAAACTTCTGTGGATGTCACCCACAGTCCTAAGACGTTTCACAGGGCGACCCCCAGATACACATCTGTGGGCCATTAAGCCAGTGTTTCACAGCACGTGCTTACCTTTGTGACATTTGGCGCGTTCTGATCGTTTCTATTGTGCTGTGCTGCGCCTGCTTTTAAGGGCTAGTCATTAGTGACCAAATGAATGTTACAACCTTCTAAAGAATCTAGATCTGTAGCTAAAATCCTCCAAGAATTCCAGCAAGGAGAAGAAATCTCAGGCCTGGCTTTGCCACCAGTGCCCTCTTCTGGGCAGCTTTATTATAAGCCGTGTCTTGAAACACTTGTGTGATTGTCAATAGATGTATGTGTGCACTGAGTCTCACCAGAAAATGTATTTATGACTGTGTCATACTGCCTAAAATGTTTATAAAACAATGTTCAAAAATTTTCCTGGCGAGGAAAGACCAAGCTAAAAAGGGCATCGTGTGTGTGTGTGTGTGTGTTGGGGGCTCCCATTTCACTGAGGAGATGAGAGATACGGTGCAGATGTTTTTTCCATGATCTCCTCTCCTGCAATCAGCCCCAGAGAAGGGATCTCAGGCACCTTCCCCTGCCTCCCCAGATTTGTTCCCACACTTGGGTCAGCCTCGGCAGAGGGCAGCAGAGCTCACATGTCTGTGGAGAGCAGGCTGGGCTCACTGCAGGCCTCCGCGTCATGGTTCATCTTCACTTCATAGGTCTCATCCTGAGACGTCTCCTCCGGACCCACCATGGCTGTCTGGCTCTCCCCGGAGTGGCACCTACAATATCCAAGATGAAGAAAAACATGAGGAACTGCTAACCTCCTCCCCTTCCTTCAGCAAGTAAAGCAGCACACACGCACGCACATGCATGCATGCACACGTGCACAAACACAAGCACACACAGGTGAACAGGCATACGGTTGCTGGTGCTTTGTTCTCCTGTGATTGCCAATGGATCCGTGGAAGTGTTAAGATTAGAGTGAGGGTCCCGTTTGGGAGAAGGATGTCTGCTGTGGATCCAGGGAGATCTGAGTCCTGACCCCAATTCACTTACCCTCTGGTCCAAGTCATTGGTCCACCTCATGCCTCAGTTTCCCTTTCTATGAAATTGGAATGACATATGTCCTGCCTGACTTAGAGGCTGCCTCCCACTCACCCCCAGCTATGACACCTGCGTCTTTGGCATCTGGCATCGCTGAGAAGTCCCTGGCATCCTATTTTGATGGTGCCCTTGATTCTGACACTGGCACCCTGGGGTAAAGACACAGAGAGGAAGCCTCACCTAGAGGGGTTTGCTCTCCTGAGCAGAGGGCAGTGAGCCTGAGTCCCTGCTGAGCCTGAATCCCTCCTGAGCTCCAGACCCTCCCACACCAGGGCGTGGCTTTCCCTGCTGGGGCAGGGTCTTCTGCTCACTGGGTCATGTCTTCTTTAGCTCTGGACCAAAGCCTCTCTTCCTGTCTGAGCTCAGCTCAGTGCCTCCCTCTGTCTTGCTTTCTATAGACCTTGCATGCTGGGCCCACTTTATCCTCAGACCCCCCGAGGGCATCAGGGAAAGATCCTGGTCCATCGTCTCAGAGCCGAGTGCTAGATCAGTGCCCTGGCTCTGAACATCTCAGGCAGGGTAGAAGCAATTCTCTCTCGAGGAAGAGGAGGACTGCAGACTGCCCCCCGCACCGCAGTGGAAGGAAAGATGAGAGGCGGGAGCTCCAGGAGGATTGGGAGGGGAGGGAGGTGGAGTGGGCTTTGGTGAGGTACGGGGGGAGGACCTGGAGACGCAGAGCAGCAGCAGGCAGGCAACAGCACTTCTGGGGGCCACCGGGCACAGGACGTGCTGGCCCATCCTCAGCACAAGCAATGAGGGCCTGAGCTGCCCTTAGCCTTGAGCTGCGACACAGGGACGAGGGAGCTGGGACGTGGGCTATGCTCCCCTTCTTAACCAAGCTGAGGCTTGATGCCCTGTGTGTTGCCTGTACCATCTGCAGTGGGCAGAGGGAACCGACATTTCATGAGCACTGACTGTGCTGGGCACTGTGCCGGGTGCTCTGCATGTATTTTGCTATGTGGAGAGATGTATCTGTGGGACAAGGAAATCCCCTGGGGTCTCCTCCCCCAGCTCCTCTAAACATCCCTCTCCCCTTATGTCACAGAGAACAAAGCTTCGTATGAAAATGCCCTTAGAGGGCGGGGATTTAATTCACCCTGAGATGCTAAAGACGGACATGGAGCCCTCTTTAAGCAGAAGCTTCAGGAGGCCAGAGGGGAGAAGGGGGTGTGGGGACCCAGGACTTGAGTCCTCAAAGGCTGTGGCAGGGGGGTGAGGTTGCAGAGAAGGATGAGGCCCCCACAACAGGTACAGGCCCCCAAGACTAGATGCCTAGATTAGATCCTCTCCTATGCAAAGCCAGCCCTTCAGGCCAGCACCTAAAATCCAGTGCCGAGCACACTGCCCTGTGCACAGAAGGCAGCAGTGCAGGCCTCATGAGTCGAAGGACACCCCCAGTGCTGCTTCTGGGTGGCAAAACCAGCCAACCTTGCAGAAAGGAAAGCAGACAGGGAGATGGTCCTTTAAACTGGCCTGTCGTCTGACACAATTAAATGCCTGGGTCCCATGGGCTTCCAGCAGCCACTTGAAAATGGGCCCTCTGGAGGGATGGGCAGGCCAGCGGCAGGTGTGCCTGCTCCTGGGATGGACACTTGTCCAGGGGTTTAGAGAGAAGCTCCCACTTCTCTCTTATTTTCTGAGCTGGAGGGCAGGCATGTCAAGAACCTGGCATGCTGGGGGGCTGTGCCGCCTGCTGGGAGCCACTGTCCCACTCTGAAAGAGCAGCACCGTTAAGCATGGCCAGGCACCATGCAGGGTGTGTCCTCTCTCAGTCCCATCGGGGATCCCCGGAGCTGCTGATGCAGACAGGGAGGAACCCCACGGGGGCCCAGGGTGGGAGGGAAGTCCCACCATCCAGCATGTCATAGCAGTGCATCCTAGAGCACAGGGGATCAGAGGACGAGGAGAAAAGAGTGAGTCGGGGTAAGAGGTGCAGTCAAGACCTCCAGGAATGATCCTGTGCTGGGCAGAATGGGCCAGTGCTACAGACGGCGCCTCCCACAGCGGGGTGCCCTCCCCGGGAGGCTGGCTAAGGGGCTCCAGGGAAGCAATGGAAACGCCATTCCCATCTCAGCTGGGAGAAAGGCCAGGTTTGGGCAGAGACTTGGTAAAGGGCAGACAGGATGGTTTCTGTTGTGCAGCCGGAACACATACATCTGAGGATCACACTGGGCCACTCAGGGAGCGTGGGAGAGGAGAGGGAGAACCGGTGCCGCAGGACACTGCTGACTTGCCCTGAGCCTGCCATGTCTGATCAAGGGCAGGACTTGGGAGACAGCACAGTGCCTCCTGCTCTTGCTGGGGTCTGGGGCAGCGACCTCCTGGAAGCTTGAGGGGCAAGTGGCCGACCGAAGCCTCCGTCTCCTCCACTGTCTCCTGAGGGTTGCAACATGTGGGCCCTGTGTGCTGCCTGGGGTGGCCAGCCTCCCACTTACCTTTTGGAGCTGAGCTTCCACGCCACCTCCTGCACCCGGATGGCAGGGGACAAGGGGGGCCCATGGCCCTCCACAGTGCTGACTGTGCTGGGGTAGCCGGCGGGGCGAGGGAGGCGACCCAGGGCGGTGTTGTTGGCATTGTTGATGTTGGCATTGGAGCCGGTGGACGAGTAGCTGCTGGGGGTGAAGGTGGAGTCCACCAGCTTCTCGTGGGACGGCGACTCAGTGTCGCCCTGGCTGCTGCCCGCCTTGTTGATGTGCAGCGGGCGCTGAGTGGTGAAGGTCTGGGGGAAGGCGCTCCGGCCGTCGCTTTGGTAGTAGCTGACGTGGTTGCCGAACAGGCCACCGGCCCTCTGTAGGCAGGAAGGAGGGGCGGGTGGAGGAGAAGCCCCTCAGCACCCACTCCTCCCAGAGAACAGACTCCACAGCCAGGTCAGGGAAGTACAGGGCCTGGGAGGGCAGGCTGCCTTATTTTGGGGAGGTCCAGCCCTGCTGGGAGCCAGGAGCACCTGAGGACCTTCTTCACGCCTGGCAGCTCCAGAGAGGGAGGGACCCGGAGTCTCAAGGCTCCAGGCTCCCCTCTGTGGCAGCTGGGAGAACCCACCCACCAGTGGGGATGGGATTGAGCAAGGGGCTGTCGCTGGTACAAGCTGCCCTGGAGGTTTCCAGTGAAGCCCCTGGGCTGGGGTGAGTTTCCAGGGCACGTCCAGGATGGTGGTCCCTAAGAGCAGCCAGCACATCGTGGGGGCGGGGGCTGAGAGAGCAACCAGAAGATTCTAACCAGATTTAAAAAATGGAAATCCAGTGTGGTCACAGAGCTAAAAGCTGTGTTGGCCAAACGGTTTTGAATATGAGGAATTTCCTGCATGACGGTCTTTTTTCCCCTCGGGGACTCGGAGAGATTTAAAACCTGGAGCCAGTGTTTTTCCCCAGTATTCTTTTCCTTGTCCTGGGGAAGTGGGCAAGTAGCTATTTGCAAGGTTGGTCCAACCCTTGATCATCAGAACATCCCTGGGTCTTGGTGACTGAGCCTTTGGTTTCTGGGGTCTTGTCGGGTTGTGGCACCACCATGCCATGTCTCTGAGGCCACTCAGTGATGAATGGCTCCCAGTGATGAGAATAAGGATGAGGAAGAGACGGAGCAGGGGCAGGATGGGCTCAGCTTGCCCCCTGTGTGTTCCACAGCCTGGGAACTGGGCCTGGGGCCGGGAGAGAGAGGTGTGAGCAGGGCCCTGCACAATTATGGCTGGCAGCTTCTCCCTTGCTATAGAAGGATTTGTAACCAAACACCAGCGGGGTGAGGCAGGCAACACAAGTGAGTGATAAATGCCCCTCATTCCAGAACAGCCTTTTTAATTTTCACTATCGCAACTGCTGGGCAGCTTCAGTCTCCAGGAAAGGAGAGGGAAAGGGGAGGACTGGAGGGGTCTTCGAGACCTGGAGAACAGACGCTATGCTCCATCTCAAAGGGCAACCGCCACTAGGCTCCAGCCCTCTGCTGCCCTGTGGGAATGCAAGCTCAAAAGTGCCAGGTCTCCTGATTTTCCCAAGGAATGCCAGAAATCTTGATTTTGACCTGAACGTGCCAGATTTTCAAATATTAAACAAAACAAGCCTGCGGATTAGATATGCCCCGGGGTGACCACTTTGTAACTTCTATTTTTTTTTTTTTGAGACGGAGTCTCGCTCTGTCGCCCAGGCCGGAGTGCAGCGGCCAGATCTCAGCTCACTGCAAGCTCCGCCTCCCGGGTTCAAGCGATTCTTCTGCCTCAGCCTCCCAAGTAGCCGGGATTACAGGCGCCCGCCACCGCGCCCGGCTAGTTTTTTGTATTTTTTAGTAGAGACAGGGTTTCACCATGTTAGCCAGGATGGTCTCGATCTCCTGACCTCATGATCCGCCGGTCTCGGCCTCCCAAAGTGCCGGGATTACAGGCATGAGCCACTGCGCCCGGCCTGTAACTTCTAATGTAGAAGTTTCTCCTAGGAAACATTTCACTTAGGGAGGCGGCTCCTTCCCACTTCACTGAGAGCCAGTGACACTGGGAGCCACTATTTCCACGGAGCCCTGCCATGGGATGGAGTCAGGCTTGGAAAAGGCAAAGGGGTGAGGAGACAGCGAATCAGGAAGAGCCTGGAATTGGCCCCCTCCTCTGGTGCAGCTCTTTCCCCTGGACGTTCCCTGCAAAACCCCAGCCCACCCTCTTGCTCCAAACTGAACTTTATAGAGGCCGAGAGTGCGCCATGGCACCACCCACCCTGAAGATGTCATCTTCAGAAGCAGCGGACACAGCCTCCTTCATGGCCTTGTCCAGCTCCTCCTCAGCGGTGAGATCTCCAGAGATGGCCCGTCGGATCTCAGGCCCGATGTCGTGCAGCGTGCGCAAGCCAGCCTGGAACCCAAGGGGAGGATGGTGAGGACCGTGCTCCCTTTCCTCCAAGCTCGCCAGCCAGCCACAGCCTCGGGCCAAGGCCTGTCCCTCCAGGGCCCTGGCATCCTCCAGCCAGCCAGTCGACCCTCCGGAAGGTTTGTCTGCGTATGAACTGGGGGCTGGGCTGCCCTCTGATGGAAGAATCCACTCGCCCATCCGGGAGGGATGAAGGCTCATTAGGAGGGGGCACCAGGGGTCAGGGCTGTCACAGGAGCCTCAGTGAAGTGTTTGCGAGATCTGGGGGCTATGACAGCAGGCACGACCATGGAGGGCAGTCGGTGGGAGGCAGGTGGGGAAGGGCACATCACCCCCTTCTCACAGCCATCTTTGGAAAGGTCTGGAGTTCTCTGAAAGGTTCCCTCTGCTGGGACCTGGCCTCCAGCCTGCTGGGAAGGGACTGGGACCCTGACTGGAGGTCAGAGGCAATGACCAGGACCTTCCTGGAGTGTGGGTCCGCCCCCAGGCCCTCACCTGCAGAGACAGCGCGTTCCTCTGGGAGGGTTTGCCCACAAGGCCCTGCTCTTTGCGCTTCTTGAACTTCCGGAAGTACTCCTGGATCAGGAATGTGGCGTAGAACTTGCCAACGGTGACCTCATCATCTGAGACGTATGGAGAGGGGAGAGGGGGTAAGAGGGAATTCAGTTGAACTTCATTTTTTTTTTTCAGCATCTAAAACTTTTTAGGTTTAATTTTTTTGGAGAGGTAGTACATTCACAAGGCTTAAAAAGAGAAAAAAAAATACATAAAAAGGCTTATGGTGAAAAGTCTCTCCTGCCACAGCCCTTATCTGCCTAGTCACCACCTCCTGTAGACAATCTAGTTTCTCGAGTATTTTCTCGGAGATTCTTAGTGCAAATCGGTTACGTAAATCATCAAACATATTCTTAGCCCCTGTTTTTTTTTTTAAGGAAAAGGTAGCCTATCATCAAAATTATTTCCCGCTTTTTTTTTTAAACTTTACTGATATTTGCTGGCTCTTATTTGATTCCAGAGCTTCAAATGTCTCTCATCAATTGACCCCTCTTCCAAGTGCAAAACAGTTCAGCTCAGCTTGGAGGGAGGGGCTGCTGGAAGGACGGCTTTCTTCCCATGGAAGTTTGGATTTTTCTTTCAAACCAGATTGGGTTTTTGTGCCAGGTGGCTTGGCTGCACCCCTGCTGGGCTGGATACCCAAGATTACATGTGACATCATCAGTCCCTGTCCTGGGAGTGAACCTGATGGTGGAGAAGCCATAAGTTCCTACAGGAAACATTTCATGCCTGGTAAGGAGCCCCTTGGCTCCACCTCCTGGTTCACTGTGAAGAGATGCAACCGGCCCAAGAGACAGACCTAGGGGCTGGTGAGGGTTCTCCTCCTACCTGTCCCTCCAAAACAGCCAAATCCATAGCAGTGATGACCCCTCCCTTCTCTGGCAAGCACCCCCTTTCCACGTGGGAGGGAAAAACCCAGGGTCCCCTCTCCCGCATAGTCGGGAAGGAAGAACTGCATGGTGGGACAAGCCTGGAGTCCTAGGTCCCCTGGGGCCTGGGTCTGAATCCTGAATCTGCTCTGGACTCTCCAGGTAACCTTGGGTCAGCAACTTAGCTTCTAAGAACTTTAGTTCCCTGAGCAAACTTCACAGAAATGTTGTCAGGATTCAATAAAATGATGTATGTAAAATATCACATGGCACTGGTGAGATTTTCACTTAGCCCAAGTCTGGCTTTCGCTCTGGCAAGTGGTTCTTAACACAAGTGGTGTCGCCTCTTAAGGAGGGCACAGTAAATGTGTGGGATGGTTTTTAGTTTTCAGGGTACTGTGGGGGTGCCACTGGCATTCGGCAGCTCCAGACCTGTCCCTTGAAGTGCAGGCATGTTCTGCAATCGCAGCTTTGCACCCTGCAGGGCTTTCAAGTTTATGCTACACATCCATGATTCTGCTTAGGATTCTCTGAGCTCAGAACATAATTCCATTTTGCAAATGAACACAGGATATTGTTTTGCATGGTTTTAACATACCTAAAAATTTCCAGGAATACAACTGCTGTGTAAATTGACGAAAACTATACCTTGGAGTGTTTAAACTTGGCTGAGAGAGGTTCGCGTTTTGGAAACCTGGATTCCTGATGGCGATGCTCTTTGCGGTGTCTGGGTCACTCACTGTGTCATGTCATGGTTATTCTGCATACGTGTAAGTACATGTGTGTGTTTATGTGTGGGGGGCTATTTATACACACAGTTATTTAATACACTGATTTACCCCTTATTTCAAAATGACAGATACAAAGTGTTGACAGTATTCAGTATTGTTACTTCCTGTGAACCCAATTGTCTTACTTCCTGTGTCGTAAGTGTGTACATGAGAAGATCTCATCAGTTAAATGTACCTTCTGGTATAGTTATGCCTGAGTATTTACATATTGGAAATATCTGCTTTTAATAGATTTTATGTTAGAGTGAAGGCATTATATTAATATTTTGGAAATTATATGTATAAGAAAGTTATATTATCTATAATTTTCATTCGGGGTCATAGTAAAGGCAGTATAAACTCTTTGCTATAAAAAGGGATTTGGAGCTTGACAGGGTCAAGAAACACTGCTCTTGGAAGAACAGAAAGAATTTCATCCAAGAGGGGAGGAATCTCAGGGGATTCTCCTTTCAGGGCCTTAGAGCAATCCTATAGCAATAGGTTTATGGGAAACCTACACTTTGTGGAGTTTCCTTAGAAGTTCTGCCAAACCCCTAAGCATCAGGGACTCGCCTGTTACCCTATGTAAAAAGCAGGGTTGCACCAGCTTTCCAGCCTGGCATTCTGTTTCTGAGTTTGTGCAGGGCATTGCACCTGCGTCCCTTCTAACCAGCAGGGCCTCTGAGTCCCGCAGGAAGGGTCTGAAGGCAGAACTCCAGCAAGCCTAGGGGACTCAGGAAGCAAGTCTCAGGGGATGCTTCCACATTCTAAGGGTGCCACCGCTGGAGGAGAGGCAGGCCGAGGAAGGCACGGCTAGGTTGTGGCCGAGGCGTGGGGCCCAGGGAGCACTCACCGCCTGCAGGAGGCACCACCTGGTCCAGCAGCTTCATGCTGGTCCGCTTCCAGATCTTCTTGATGATGGCCCGCAGCTCCTCATTGGCCTGTTCGAGGTTCCCTGCAGGGCGGAAAGGATCCTCAGCCCCTTGGTGGGCCTCTGATGGGCTGGGTCCCTCTGCGTAAGGTAGGAAGCCACAGATGGTGGCGTCTGCCCCACGCAACCTGACACATCAGTTTCTTTCTCGCTGGCTTCACTTCTCCCCAGTCTTCCCGTTTTCTACCTCCTTCCTCTTCCCCTTCCTCTCTCCACCTTCCTTCCTTCCCTCTTCCCTCTCGTGCCCTGTCCAATGCCATTCCTCTCCCCTTCCCCCTGCCTGTGGCTCAGGCCAGCCAGGGGGCCCCTCCTCCGGCACTCAGTGCTCTTCCTTGTGGACTGAGCCCAGCGCCCGGGCAGGAACAATGGCGGCCATGCGCTCACCAGCTGGAACACGTATGGCCCCGCCACAGGCAGTAGGGGGTCCCCATGGGTGGCATTTCTCATGGAACTCGTTGGGCAGCCACAGGGAACATGGATGATAGGAGGGTACATCTGTCAATGAGGGCTCTGTCTTGAGTTCCCCTGCTTAGATGCCTGCCCTATGCAGCCTCTGGGGCCCCAGCCTTACAGTGGTGAAAAAGGAAAGCCGAGCCTCCTTACAGCTGTAAGGGCAGATGTGGGGGACAGGATTCTAAGATGCTCCTCACCAGGGTATACACGCTGCCAAACCCCTGGGCCCCTAACCATCAGAGATTTTACTCCTGAGATTAGATTATATGGCACACGGCAGCCATGACCTAAGACAGGGAGGTTAGGCGGACCTGACCTAGTCATGAGCCCTTTACAAGCAGTTCTCTCCAGCTGGCCTGGAAGAAAGCAAACACTCGTGTGGGCTGAACTTAGAGAGGCTGCTTCTAGGAGCTGAGGGGGTCCCCAGCTGTCAACCAGCAGGAAAGTGGGGACCTCAGACCTACAATTGCAACGGATGAATCCCATCAACAACGTGATCTCCCCCAGAGCCTCCAGAAGAGACCATGGCCTGATCAATATCCTGGATGTGCCTTAGAGAGCCCAGCTTCACCACTGCTGGACTTCTGACCTGCAAAACCATGAGCTAATAACGGGGTATCTTTTTTTTTTTTTTTGAAGACAGAATTTTGCTCTTGTTGCCCAGGCTGGAGTGCAATGACGCGATCTCGGCTCACTGTAACCTCCGCCTCCTGGGTTCAAGCAATTCTCCTGCCTCAGCCTCCCGAGTAGCTGGGATTACAGGCATGCACCAGCACGCCCAGCTAATTTTGTATTTTTAGTAGAGATAGGGTTTCTCCATGTT